TGAGGGGAGATGGGGCATTAGGAGCACTGGAGCTGGACTTGATGTGTGATAAAAAAAATACTTAGCGAAGATACAGGCTTCTTGAATATATGTGTTGATGGTCTGTCCCCCCTCATGCCCCAGCAATGCCTCACAGGCAGTCTTGCACAGACATCTAGTACCCTGCTGTCTAACCAAGTTGCTTTACTCTTTTCAGACCCAGTGTTTAGTTGCTGTTACCAGTGCTATCTCTGCAGATAAGCAAAGACTCAACACCAGCTTCCAGCTCCAAAATGTCGGTTTGTGTCAGTAGGGACATAACACATAAGGAGCTCTGAGAAGCACTGAAAGAAAAATGGAAGGCTCTGGTAATTCTGCACTTTCCAGCTATGCTAGAGCTGTTCTGTAGGCAACACTACCTTGGATTCCTCTAAGACATAGCTTTCTACTGACATAAACTAGGAGAACTGCTCTGTGTAGTGCCTGTGGAAAAGCACTGAATTTGGCCAATAACATCTGCCTTGAGGAAGAGCTCAGCTGATGGACAGATTCAGAGTTGCTAATACTACCTTTTTTCTCCAGCTATTAATGCCGGGCTTGCTCAGCACACAGAACCTGGAGTGTGATCTTACCTGTACAGGAAGCAGCAAGGATAGAATTAAGATTTCAGCACAAAGCTATGGCCACACTTGAAGGAAATGTGTTGGAATAAATAAGAGTATAATGGACATCTCTGGGCCTGGAGAATCCCAGTCTGGGAAAGGACGGGAAGATTTCAATTGGAATTAAGAAAAATCAGTAGAGCGGCAGAACTATGTGGAGTGGGTTTTCGGAGTTATCGGTGGATTGGAGGGCTCTCAAAACTGTAAGAGGCAAATTTGCAGTCAGATTTAAGGGGAGAGGCTGTTGAGTGGCGTCAGAAAGATAGGTTTGGTATAGTCCCAAGTCCTCGAGATGCTGCTGCTCATTTCAGATCAGAGCTGTTGATATTTACCAGGGCAATGAGGAGAAGATAGCATTGGTTTGGATAACAAAAGGAGAGATGCCCTCAATTTTTGCATTTCTGAGAAGGCTGGGAGGCAGGGTCGAGCGCCCCATTTTCCCGTATCACATTAGCCTGACCGTGTCTCCTCCGGCCAGCGTGCTCCCTCCATTGAACAGCAGCAGGAACACCTGCCTAGGCCGTTTCCCAGCCTCCCAGCTGGCACCTGTGGGGTGAATGCTTCACACCAGGTGGCAAATGAGTCCCTACGGTGAGTGCACAACCCCAGGCTGGTGGCTAATTAAACACCAAGCTTTCCCATGGGACACGGCTGGTTTGATTTCTCAGATTATTTGTTTGAAATGGGTGAAAAGAATAAGCTGACACTTCAGGTCTTCACACACTGTCTAACCTCACAGTTTACAAACAGGTAAAGGAAATGTTCAGCAGCAGAAAGAGACGAGGGCGGCTTTTTCTAGAGGAACCAAAAAACACAAGCATCATCTTTATCGCTGTCATTGTTTCTGCCAGCAAACAGCCAGCCTTCACAGGACTAAAGCAGGAGAAGGAGAGGGCCTCTAAAGCAACACCTAATGTATTCTTGCCCTCCTAGAAGCCAGTGCAGAGCCAGATTTGAATTCGGAACAGTTTTTAAAACAAACTGATATCAGAGGAGACTGTGCAAGAGTTCTAAAAATCTGGCTAACAACAGCTTTTTCCTGGAAGCCAATGTCACCCCTCGCTGAACAGCTACCTGGTGCTATATCACTGACTCCTTACATGCCTTGCAGTGACCATACCCTTCATCAGCCAGCTGTCTCGCCCTCTCTCCTCCTCCATTACCACCTATGATTTTTGTCAGCTGTGTTTGAACATCTCCAGTTTGTCAAATTCTTCAGTTACACCAAAACAAGGCAGAAGAAGGAGATTTCTGTTGCATATTGCTTCCTAGATGCTAATTTCAGTGCAGCAGAGGGGTCTATAGTTTTGGCTGCAGATGACAGAGTGTAAATGAAGAATGGGATGCCAGCAAAATAAAGGAACTTTTCCCTACTTCAGAAAAAATAAGATTTTTGCCGTAGGCCATTACAGTATCCAGAAGTACAGATCATTTCCTGGATATCCATTATTCCAATCTTCTCCAAGACATGGACAATTGTGTCTTTGCAAACCCACTAGAAAGTGGATATTAAGAAGTAGTTCAAAACGAATTTGTTTCTGTAAGAGAAGCTTAGGCATCCCTTTTCAGGTATATTTATAAAAAAAAGGGGGGGATGACTCCATTTGACAAAAACAAGTTACTCCTACATAGTCTTCTCTGTTCCCTCTAAATTTCTTAGCTCAAATGTTTACTGTTATTTGAACTACCAATAGTAAGAGCAATGTTGCCAATCTGATTCATTACATCATTAGGAGCCTTTAAAACGTTTAATGAGTTTCTTATCTAGTTAAAGACTAACGAATGCAAATCAGTGGAACTTGTTATCTGAAAATCAGACAAGTGTTATTTAAAAGGCTGCTATCTGGAGACAAGTATTTTCAAACATTCCAGTTAATTTAGCAGTGTTTAAGCTAATAGTCCCAAGCTAACAACCCACAGGAGCTGGGCCAGAAACAGACACTCAGAAGTCGCTGAGCTTTAACAGCCTGCAGTATTTTCAAATACAAATCTATTCACTAGATTCTGAAGTGTTACTGAGGTGGTGAGAACAGTCTTGTTTCATAGATGCAAGTGTTACTAAAATCCATACAGCTTGCCATTCCCTGAATGAAGATAATGATTTACTGACTGCTATTAATAAGCAAAGATTCATTGTATACAGTGTAAGAATCATACTTCAACAGATACATAATATGTTAAAAGAATAAGCACATGTAAAGAGATTTTCTAATTTAGCTGTCATATACCCAAAAAACTTGAAGGACGAGGTCTATTCATGGGCCCAATCTTGAAACACGCGAGTTCAGTGGGGCTTCCCAGCCAGCACCAGCTTGCCCTCTCCCGTAAGACAGCTGAATTCCTAGCAACCTTTCCCTGGTGCGTCCTAATTAGGGTTTGTATTATTATTATCAAAAGAAAAAAGGAGGGGAGGGAGACAGGGGGGAGAGAGAGAATTAGCCGCAACAAATGGACCCCGACACAATTATATTTGCACAATTACTGCCATTTCCATGGCAACACACTGCTTTGACCTCTCTCCCATCGTGCACTACTACTCAAGGAGACGGTGGGGGAGGAGATGGAAAAGTGCATAGGCCAGCAAAGGGTTTGTCCTCCGAGTTAAAACAAAACCGACTTCTCAATAAAGGAGTTTTAAATCATTAAAGGAAAAAGGAAAACTGTGAAAACATCTGTAAAAAGCAAAACTAACGTTTCACAGAACTAACAGGGAGGCATCTGTGTGTTTATACAGTACATCCAAGTACAAAACAAGGACCCACGCCTTGGAACACCCGGGATTTGATTACTGCACAGAGCAAGGCAGAATTGTAGCAAAGATGCACACAGGGCATGCTGACAGCTCCGCATTCATCTTGCGGCAACAAGGAAATTCCTTGCCCTAAAGTTTCCAAAACAAAACTTTAGGTCTCTTCAAAATAAAAACATTCTTCCTTTCTAGTCAATTCATGTTCCTTCTCATGCCTCCAGCTACCACTAATCGCACAACCAGTTCCCTGCCCTGGGCAGGCACGCAAACATTCAGGACACATTGCAATTACTGTATAGATCTCATTACCTGCTAGCAGAAAAATTCCCTTCAGGATCACGCCAATCAGCACAGATTTCATGGCCGACTCCTTGTGGACATTTGTGACAGTAAAGGGAAAAAAATGGGGGTGAATGGGGGGGGAGGAATGACAAAAAAGGCTGGACTGAAACGGCAGAACGTGTGTAAGCGCTCCCTGATGCCAGTCAGACAAAAAGGGATTGGAGATGAAACT